ATCCTGCTTTGCAAGGCAGCTTTCTAGACCGTCAATCTGCTGTGTACTTGTTGCACGAGTCTTGGTCCCTTCCAACTGTAGGACTCAGCACCTGACCCTGCTGAATTTTAAAAGGTCCCATCCGTCTGCTTCTCCAAATTGCTGAAATGCCTTCAAGTATCAGCCCTGACCTCATCTGTGAACTTCCTAAGGCTGTACTCCATCCCATTTTCTAGGTGACTGATAAAGACATTAAATGTTAGCATTCCTAATATAAAACCCTGAGGAATGCCATGCCTAACCAGCCACTATCTGAACTCCTACTCCTTGAGCCCACTGGTCCAGACAGTTTTCCACTCACGTAGTAATCTGCCAATCCAGTGCCTGTTTCCCCACTTCAGATACAAAGAGGCTGTGCCAGAAGTTTTGCTCTCCCCACACCCACACTGCTAATCACACCATTGTGCAATGCGATCAGGTTGGTCGGACACAACTTGCCCAGATAAATTGGTGCTTGTTTTCCATGATCACCTTCTCCTGATGTGCCTGGAAATGGCTTCCAGGAAGACTGGTTCCATGATCTTTCTGGGGACTTTGATTAGGCTGCCTGGCTTGAAGTTTCCCAAATCCACCTTACCTTTCTCCAGGATAGCTACGATGCTTGCCTTCTTCCAGTCATAACGTACTTCACCTAGTCATCTCGCCTTTTTGAATATCACAGAGAAGAGGCTTCACAATTACATTGATGAGTTCCCTCAGCAGTATTGGATGCATCCCACCCAGTCCCAAGAACTTCTGGGTATGTCTAGATTGCTTAAGAAATATTTAAGTCAATCTTACTTTACCACGGCCCAAACTTGGCCTCTGGGCACACAGATCTAGGAGACCTGACAACAGTCCCTGCCAGGAAAAAAGAACAAAAAAAAAGCTGTGGAGTAACTCGGCCTTTTCTACTCCCTCTGTCAAGAGGTCCAACACCCCATACTTCAGCATGTCTACAAGTTCCCTTGTCCACTCTTGCTGCTCAGCCTGCCCTTCCTGTTACACTTCAACTACCACAAATTTCAGTTCCAGTGAAGCCTGGCCCTTCTACTTCATCTGAGCAACGTTTAATTCTTTCATGTAGCCCAACCCCACTTCTACCTATGCACAAGTGCCTTCTGCACTTGAGTTCAGTCAGAGCTCCCCATTCAGGCATGCAGACCTCCTGTCGCATCCCCTCAAGTCTGTGAACTTCAAAACAAACAGCTGCTATGCCTGAAGGAGGCTATTCTTGACAGCAAAAAAGCTGTCTTGGGCCTCTTTACTCTCCACAGCTGCCTCCCACAGGATCTCATCTACAAGCTCACTCAAGAAGCTGAAGACCCGTCTTCTGAAGATGAGGTCATTGCTCTGCTACATACTTTCTTGTTTCCCACAGTAACACATGAGATGAACTCAGGAAATCACTTCCTTAACGTACTGATGAAGCTCTACTACTAATCATAAATACAATCTAAACCAAAACCTTTTACAAAGGTAAATGTAGCCATGTAAAGGTCTCAAACCGTTTCATAACCATAATATTTTACTTCTATGCAACACATAGCACGTTCTTCTAATTATGCAGATGGTTTCTGTAACACATATGGCCTCTCATTCAACTCTGAAAATAACAATACTAAAGATGACACAGACAGAAGATCAGGACACTTACAAAACACAGTCAGAATTTTTTTTCTTCTTTAAATAAAAAAGCTGTCTGAAGGAAAATTTTAATTATTACAAAATGTCTACCCTTGCAGCCTATATTTTGCATTTAAACTAGTCAGCATATCGTATCCCATATGCTTTAACTATGGGACAGAGGACTTGAGTTTAAAGTACAGGAATATAATTCTACCCTCTTGCTGTTCCCAGATTCATCTGCAAAATGGTCCCATCAGCCTGACCCTCATGCTGATGTTCAACGTCTCTTCTGGGACTATGATGACAATGTTTTCCACAATTCTCTAAACTAAGCTTTGCTGGATATTAATAAGCGTCCTAACCACTGGACTACAGTCACAGTGCATCTTGCTTGGCCACAAAGCTGCAATTCCATTCTGTTTGCACAGAAGTAACAGAGAAAGGCCCTACGGTAGCTTGCGAGTTAATGATAACCAGAGTCTCCAGGGAGACCAAGATCAATCCAGAGAGGTGCAGCAGAGTGAAAAGTCAACTGTACCACACCTCACACTTCCTTCACATTTTTTGATTCAAAACTCGAATGTTTCTATGTCACAGCTGGAAAAGCAAATGCATGTTGCTTGCTCTACTGCGAACAGAAGTGGAAGCAATCTTGTGGACACTGCTGAACTGTTAAATTATTAAAAAGCCACAATATTAACACCAAAATGAGGCTTCTCTAAATACAAAAAAGGTGGTGATGAGTTGATTCATTTCCTCAAGCATAAGACCAAGTGTTCTCACTAAATTAAGATCCAGATGCAATTTATGAGGTAAAGCTTTTGGACTAAAAATTAAATCAAGTCAAATCCTTTTGCAGAAATTATTGTAATGAACAAAGAACAAACACTATCAATAAGAAGCAGTGTCATTGGAACATAATCACTGAATGAGTTTTAATCAACAGACTACAGAAAGGAAGACCTGTGTAAGTACTGTAATGTTAGGTTTGTCACCACAGCTTATTGGAACCTCCCCCCTGGGCAAGACTACAGAGGTGTTATAGACAGGTGCATGAGCTCTGACACAAATCAAGGTGCTGAGCCCCTGCTGGCTTGCACTGGGTTATCTGACAGAGACAGACTCCTAGCACGGAGCTGAATCAGAGGAGCAACCACTTTCTGGAGCTATGCAGCTTCACCTCCAGATTTCTACACATGTGCACTGAGTGAAGGACCCAGACAGAAAAACACTGGAATACACGAGTTCACAGTGCCACGTAAGAAAGCAGAAGGAGCCTCTCATGAGAATATCCCCCTTCCTGCCCTAACACAACATAAACGGGCACAGGTTTTCACTGCAGCACCACCCCATTCAATCACCACAATTTACTTGGGTTTTTTTTTTCCTCCCTTTCCTTTTCCCCAGAAAAGAAAGAAGAGAGAACTCTGTATTTAAATCCCTAACAAATACAGCCATAATCAGATAAAAGATTAACACAGTGCTCTTGAGAGAAATTCAGAGAGGTCCACAGAAATGAGTTCCAACATGTAAGAAAATAACAAACAAAAAGCAGAAAATAAGAGAACTGCAGCCTAAGTCAGGATGGCTTGTGCAAATCTGCAACGGTTACTGTCATGGCTCTTTCAAGAGCTGCATGGGTGTGTGTGGTCAGATTGGCTCAACAAGACTGGACAGCTTAATACCTCAAAGAATGCAAAATTTCATACGTAGGTGTTAGTTCGAACTCAGTGACTGACATTTTAAAAACTGGCATAAAGGTCACATGTGCAGTTTAGCTCTCTCTCTCGGACACTCATCAGAGAGGGTCACTTGGATCGCCACATAATTTTAAGATCCAGAAAAGTCTAAGTCAAGTCACTGGCTTTAAAGAAAAAGGAACTCTTTTGTAGCTCCACAGCAACCTGGAACCAGTGTGGACCCTTCAGTCTTCTGTGGCTCTTTCAAACACATCCCTGTCATTAATTCCTGAAGCTATCAACCTTTTCACCCACTTTAATTCTTATGGAACATGCAGCAGATCATACAAACAAAACCTAAATACAGAGAGGGTTTGAACACAGCCATGCTCTTGTTAGTGTAATCATGACTTTAAGCTCAACAAAAATAATAAATTTCATGTAACACTCTTGAATACTTGAGCATTCTGTGTTGCTCTGTAAGCTGGAGGCACACTTCTGTGTAGGACATCCAGGAGAACAGCTGCGAGGCTACCACTATAGGACCACCTTTTTATTCCTCACTCAGCTATACACAAGTCACCTTCAGAAGCACTAGCTGATTTTCCAGTTGAAATCATGTCTCAGGGTAAAAACTCTGAAGGCTCAGAACCTTCAGAAGTACTTAAAGAATACTTTCAAGTTGAATGAATTCAAGTGGCTTTACTGAACTTACAATTTTTTATCTGAATAGAAATCGCAGTTCACAGCCTTTACCTGTCCACTTTCTACACTCCCACGTTTCCTTCTCTGACACCTTTGGTGTTAAAATTGTACTCTGGAGAAGTGGTGCTTACAAATATCCCAGTTTTTCCTGAGGCACCTGCCTAAAGGCTTCCAAGTATCCATCATAAAAACTGGTAAACTGGGACCTCTCCATTTTATCAGAAAGAACAGTTGCTTTGTATTTACACTGGCGGGCACATCTGTAACCCTAACTTCAGGAAAATTAATTGGCTTGGAGATTCGGTGAGAGTGTTGCACGAACAACTGTATGCAGCAACATGAACTACTGTTCACTGAAAGACAAAGCCCACCCAGCAATATCTGGAATCTAAAATGTACGCATCCTATATCGTGTTGCTTATGTGCCAAGATTAAATGCCTTGAGCATCTTACAAGGACCTACAGATGTAGTTCAGTATTTTCATTTCACGTTCTCGATTCCACCAAAATCACGATGTAGAAATAAACACCAGTGTGCCATAGCTGCTATCGCAGCTGCCATTAAGACTATTGTGTTACCCCTTCCCACCAGAAAGATGGGGCCTTACGAAGCAGCCATTGACAGAGGGCTTCAACAGGAGCTCTATGTTTCCAACACACTGCACTGTACTGACAGAGCCCTTGCACAGCACCTTTGGAATTTCACATACAACACTTTTTTAAGAATTTTTGGCAGCAGCCTACACTGGCTTTATAAATATTTACATACATTCAAAAAACTTAGTCTTCTTCACAAAAGACATGAAAGACTGCTAAGCAGTTGCACCTTCAAGTTTCAAATGCCTTGGCAAATCACTGTCTACAGAAGATTGTTAACAGCAGACTGAAACACGCTACATACTTAAACTCTGGAAAACACCATTTTAACTTGCAGAACTCTTTCCGTCAGTAAGGCACACCAGACAGAGATGACTCCCACATGCTAAATCTTTATTGTGCGAATGTTGTTCAGAGTATTTATTACCCTTTGTAGACACACATTCAAAAAAAAATACATTAACAGTGGATAGATTGATGGGCAACATATTAAATCTATTTGGTGGTAATTTGTATGCATGCAGTTAACTCTTGTGGTGTAAAAATCTTAGCCAGGAGGCCAGCCCAGTTGACGACCACCCAGAACATGGAGATGTACGTGATAGACAGACTGCCCACCCTCAGGCCCTTCATTCACAACCATCCGGAATCCATTGGTCAGGCCCAGGTTAGCAGCACACTTCTTGCCAACAATCATTAAATGCCCAAGAAGCTGGAGGAGAAAAAAAAAAAAAAAACAAAACAACAACCAAACAAACAGAAAACACACAAAAAGGGGAGAGGGCAGGAAGGGAAGGAGTGAGAGCAAAGAACCATTTAGATAAGCCAAGTAAGCTAGTTCTTAGAAATTCAGCCACTGCTCTTCAAATTGTTGTCTGTCTGCAACTGATGCTTTCCAAGAAAAGCTATGAAGACTGAATACACATAATATAGGGGAAAAAAAAGAGCTACAGATTTTTTCTCAAGCTAAACAGTACCAGACTACAAAAGTGTCATAAAAGCTAAATTTATCTCATGTTAAAGCCCTCATCACTTCTTCAGGCAAGAAATACAATTGTGGTGGAAAATAAACTTTATCTTATCATGTAAAGGTTTAGAAAATCTTTGATCTTGATGTTTATAGTTACAAATGAAATATTCAGCACCTCTCGGCTAACCTTCCCCTTCTTTATCTCTGACCCACCAAAAACCCCAAGCCCATATTAGAATAAGTACTACTGCCTGTAAACCATGAAAACGGATGTCAAGACTGCACTTGAAAATAACAATGCATTTTGCACTGCAAATACACCCATACCCAGAAATTTTCCTTTTTGTCACTACTTTTACTGGAAAACCTTTACTCTATTCCCATTCTGAACTAGAGGGAAAGGATTATAGTACCAGAAAATGACTTTGCCTCTTTGAAATATCAATGTTGAGAGGAAAAGGGGAAGAGTCTAGTAAATTATGAAGTAACTAGAGGTACAGTTTGGTGTACAGAAAGTTTCTAGAGTACTTACAGATTCATCAGAATCTTCTGCTTCAGATAGCCTGACAATTGGCTTCTTAGGAACCACTAGGAAATGCGTTGGAGCTTGGGGTGAAATATCGTGGAACGCAAGACACTGGAGGAAGAGCAAACAGAACGTAATTTGCTTCACAGAAAGGCAAGAGTAAGTCAATATGCTCCACTAAATACATACTTAAGCAGATTATCAGATACCCCAAACATAAGCAGACATGTTGATCCTTCTTGAATGATATATTATTCAAAGTCTTCTAATTTCTAAGCACAAACCTGCTGGTATGAAAAATTAATCATTACTCTGTGTTAAGTATTATTTAAAAGCTATAGTCTTCTTAGCAAGTTAATATGCATTTAGGTTCATTATTTACTATGTCCACATATGCAGAACAACTAACAGAGCTGATGGCATGTGTGCTTATAAAAAGTACATTTATGCTTAGTTCATTTTTTTATTAACTCTTTGTTTAATAAAATATTTGGCAAACAGTTGCTAATCAAAATTACTATCCATCAGAAATTGCATACAGCACCTAACTACATAAGATAAATCTCAAATTAGGAACTTCCAATAGACAAGGGAAATAGAAGAGAAAGCAAAGAAAGAGAAAAGGAAGTTATGCCTCTTTGTGCAAATGGTCAACCAAAGAACCAGGACTTGCTACTACAACCACCACAACCTGCAGATGCCTACGCAGCGCGTGCACTCTGCCATTGCCAACCAAAGGGCATCTCTGACTTACCCATCACATTTAACAGCAAAATATCTGGTAGTTACTGGTTGAGTTATGACATAAAGAATGCATACTTATAAACACATACCTTACATTCTTCAAAATATTAATTTCCTAGATGCTTTCAGTTATTTGTGAACCAATAAAGTAATTTTTCTATGTGACTGTACTGCTTTTTAATTCAATCGAGAGGAACTGTGGCCTTTGCCAAGAGTAAAGGTGGTGAAAAGCCCAACTTCACTTACATTAACAATGCCTTATCTTGTAAATCTCCAATCTGTCCTATTTTAAGCTCTCTGTAAGAAGGTAATGGCCAGTTTTAACTCTCTGAATAACTGCTTGTTTCCCCCAAACAGAGAAGGGTGCTAAGCAGAGAATGAATGAATAAAACTAATTCACACCTAATTAAAGAAATCTTACTTTGGGTTGATAATTTGGTAAGCAGTTTTTCTATTTCATGTGGTCCACATAGAGGCAGAATGCAAATGGCCAAACCGAGTGAAATAATTTAATGAGCAGAAGACCGGTATCAAATAATTCCGTATGGATCAGGGAGCAGAAGCAGTATCAAACAAAGCACAATCACAGAAAGTCCATGAGCACACGAGAAACCAACCTTCGTTTCAGCAAGTTCAGATTAACTAAAACAACAGTGATAAGGCTTAATTCCACAAAGACTTTGTACTTTTCAGTATCTCCTTTTCTCTGCACATCAATTAATGATTAAAAGCCTTCCTTACATTTCTCCTTGTAATATTTCCAGTCACATCTAAACAGACCTTCACACAGTCAACCAAATGAATTAAAGACCACGCACTACAGTCAACTAAACTGTAAAAGCAGTTCTACATCTCTGTGCAGTTTAAAGCAAAAATCAACTGAAATACTGCAGGTAATCACTACTCTTCCAGAAAATATTCTGCACTAATGGCAGCCAGAGTAGGTTACATGATCTCAAGTCACTCATCAAAGTCAACAGCCTGATTCTTAATCAAGCTCAGTGCTCAGGTTACACTGCTGTAGCCGTTACAGCTACGGGAAAAACCTCAAGCAGCTTTGACCGGGGAGAAGAAAGGATGCACACCCGCACAAACACAGAGCAGTAACATAAGCATGATTTTCCAATATTCTTCAGAGTAGACAGCAACGTTTCTCTGTTGGTAAAGAGAAACATTTCCTCTATTAAGAAAACACTGTTTCAAGCTATGCACAATTTTTAAGCACATAAATCAGACAAACAGCACCTTTAGCGAGTCTGCGTATTCTATACTGCAGACACTCCCTTATTTCAAAGGCAAAAGCCCCTGTTCATGTTCAGTATTTCATTTTTTTTTTTTTTAAAGGTGGAAGGGGGGAGCACTTATACTGGATATTGGTTTCATTTACACCTTGGAGATAACAGCCGCATTTTTGCATAAATGCGTTTTCATTTCACTTGGCCCCCAGCATGCTGCAGTACATCAGCATCACTGAACGCTACCAGTCCCACCTCGCCACTGAAACAGATTCTGGCAGCCTGCAGGATGACCAGCTCCACGCCTTTGCGAAGAGCCGAAAAAGCTGTAATTCCTTGTAATTCTTCACTCAATAAGCCCCCTGAGAGGCCCACAAGCAAAGCCTGTCAGGTAGACCTGCACCACCTCCATAACGCTGCTGAGAGCCGCACCAAAATCTGCCCTTCCGACCTGCCGAGCGGCTGGTGATGGCGCGCCCGGAACCCACCGGGCGATGACTGCCGGAGTGCCGGCTGGCGATCT